AATGGCGGACGTTCAAGGAGCCTGGATGACTACCGTGCGTCGCAACAGAGGGCGGCATCGGTAGAGAGTCCATGGCTACTGGATCGACCACGTGACGCCACCTACTGAGCAGATCTGCCTAGATGCAAACCAAAGCGATCAATGTTCAGTTGTGCCATCACTGACACACACCTCCGATAGAGCTAGCGTCGCGCTTCGTATTTAAACTACGCGCGCCATCTCGCAATCATCGAGAATTTTTACGTTACTTTATACTTAATTTTAATTAAGAAATTTAAAATTTTCAAAATTTTTTTTTACAAAAATGTTTTAAATATATATAAGAATCGTATTTTGAGATTAAAAATGATCTAGTTATAATAATTAAGGATTAAAAATTAAAAACAATCAGAAAAAAAAAATGTAAGTTTACTAAAGATAACCTAGTTGTTACGATAACATTAAGAGATGGAAAGTTGTATAGAATGAAATTTCAGCATGTAAATTTTGAATACAGAGCAAATGTAAGAGTAACTGTATATACCTTATGAGGATGGCATAAACTACTTACATACCAATCAAAGACAACACGGAATTAGACACCAAAGTACAATACCATACACACCACAACAAAATGTAGGTCTGAACGAGAAATGAGAGCTTTGGTAGAAGCGGCAAGGAGTTCGACTTGGAAGATTTTAAAATATTTTGAAGTAAAGGATACATACATGTCCCGAAAGAAAAGAGAAGAAAATGTAAGAGTAAAAAGGTCTTATTCATGGGATATGAAGAGGATACGAAAGGGTACAGAGTTTATTGTCAAGAAACGAAACGAAACGAATTGAAGTTGCTAGGGACATCATTTTCAAACCAGACATCCAAAATAAAAATATTGAAAGAAGAAAACACGAGAACAAAGAAAAAGATTCGACAGAGAAAACAGATACAGAAGAAGAAGATGGTGAACAAGAAGAAAACGTTGAAGTTGAAGACATTGGTAATAATGATGAGATAACCGAAGAGGAGGTATCTACATGCTGTTTCATAATTTATGGGCAGGAATTCAGAATGTGATAGCTTATCCAAAAATTTGAAAAAAGTTTCTATCAACTTACCCTCTAAAATGCACCATTTTCGAGATACAGGATGTTTAAATTTAAGGTACAAACTAATTGGTATTTTGTTATAAAATTTAAAGCCTACTTGTTAAAAATATATAATACAATTTTTTGCACAAAGCTGAAAAACAAATGCTGAAATGTGCGAAGTGCGTTACCTCTTTGGTTTGGAGAATTTTGAAAAGACAACTTTTGTATCATTTTTTCATTTTTTTTATTTTGCAATTACTAAGTTAACGCTTACTTTTGTTACTTGTTCTAACGTTTACCTAAATTTTGTTTAATTACAAAATAAAATTTTTATTTCAAAAGATTGACCATGTTATTCAACATAAAAGTTGATTTTTCTCGAAAACGGTCAACTTTAGAGCTCATGACCTTCAGTACCTTTTTTGTGCAGAAAACATTGACGTTTCAAATGGGTGTCTCAAAGCCGTACTTTTTCCAGTGGCGTAGAAGTTGGGGAGAAAAATAACCACTACCCTTCATAATCTTCATCAATTTTGACTTTAAAAAATTTTTCTTGCACAAGACTTAGCTTATTATGAGTAGAAAATGCTTACAAACGCTGTTTTCTGTAGATAGATAAACGGTTCCGGAGATATTCGCAAAAAACGATTTTTTTTATTAAATTTCAACACATTGTATCTCGAAAATGGTGCATTTTAGAGGGTAAGTTGATAGAAACTTTTTTTCAAATTTTTGGACAAGCTATCACATCCTGAAGTCCTGCGCATATATTATGAAACACCTTGTATAAACAATGAAACACCTGAAACAGATGGAACACAATGATTATGAGAAATGTTTGATAACTCAAATGGAAGAACCATTACGTTACAAAGCCATGGAATGTATGTATGTACTGGAAAAAAGCAATAAAATCTGAAATAATAATCTAGAAAATGAAACTTGGGAGGAAGTAGATAGAGCAAAGGATGAAAAGTAATGGATGCAAAATGGGTTTTCAAGATAAAAGAAAATGATAAATAAGCTTTTTGCAACAGGACATCGATTATAGCGATATCTATACTTCAGTAGTAAAACTTCAAACAGTTAGAACGCTTTTAGCTATTGCACACAATTTAAAATAGTATGTTCAACAGATGGATGTAAAAAGCGCGTTTTTATATGGGAATATAGAAGAAACGATATATTTGAAACCACCAGAAGGAATAACAACAGCAAAGAATAAAGTTTTATAAATGAGAAAAGCTTTATATGGTTTAAAAAAATCACCAAAATATTGAAATAAAAGACTTAATACATTGATGATTGAACACAATTTTAAACAATTAATGGCTGATTATTGTTTATATACAAAAATAGACAAAGAAACTCGAATATATATGGTAATTTACGTGGATGATTTACTAATAATTGGATACAACAAGGACAAAATTGAAGAGATAAAAATGATTCTAAAACGGAATTTCAAAATGAAAGGTTTGGGAAATGTAGGAACATATTTGGGAATAAAAATAGAACAATATAAAATAGAGAATTGCAAACCGATTGGAACACCTATGGATCAAAACTCAACATGGAACAAAGCAAAGCATCAGAAAGTCAAGAACTAGAAACCAGATGTAGAAAGCTAATTGGATCATTAATGTATGCAGCCATTACGACCAGGTCAAATGTTAAACTTATTATAAAGTTGATATGTAAAATGTTTCAATACATATAATAGATGGCGTTAGAGTTAGTTTAAAAAGTTGTAGAGAGCGTTGATAGTTTTGTTATAGCAACCAAACAGTAAAGTACATAGTATTGTTTTCAATATAAATAAAATAATAATAAAAGCTGTTCAAGTTACACCGCTGGTTTTTAATTAAATGACTATGACCACCACCTCTGACAAATGACAAGAGATTTTATATTTGATTCTTCTTCATTCATAATTGATCCGTCAAAAATGTCATTCATTTGCTCTAAAGCTTTTAAATCTTTTGTAGAAAGTTTAAGCCATGAGATGCATCTATTAACACAACCTCTCTTTCAATTTTTTGTACTTCATCTACCACTGCATTATTTTCATAAATAATTGCAGGCATCAAGTTTTTCCATGCCGATCTTAGTACTCTTATGGATTGATTATGCCAAGAAGAAATTCTGTCCTAGGATGATAGACATTTGTAAACGCAATTGACGTAACCTATTTGCATGGTATAATTGACATTACAACGAGGTAGAACTTGATGAACAAACAACGCTGTACAGCTTGCATTTTGCTGACGACCAGATAGTAGCCCAGGACGAAAAAGACCTTGAATATATGGCAAGAAAATTAATCGAAGTATACGACCGGTGGGGTTTCGTTACGAATGTGTATAGAGTATCTTTGCGTGGGCGAAGAAGCAAAAGACCTGATGGTAAATGATAACACCTTAATTAAAGGATACGAAGAGTGAACTTACCTTGGAACTAAGATGAACCACAGTAAAAGATGTGAAGCAGAAATACGAAGCCGACTACAACGGGGCAAAAACAGAACAAAAGCCATAAACTCCCGTCTTTGGTCAAAAAAGATCTTAAAAAGAAGAAAACAACAACTATATTCCACTATCTTCAACCCTGTGGCGCTGGACGGATGCGAAACCTGGCAATTAAATAAACAAATAGAGAACCGGCTACTGACAGTTCAAACGGATTTCTGGAGAAGAGCAGCTGGAAAGACTAAACTAGATTGGGTGCCAAATACCGACATACGAGAAATGATAGGAAGACAGTTAAAAAAGCGCTCCAATGGTACGGCTACGGTCAAAGAATTGGTCCAGGAAGAATCTCGAAGAAAGCGATGTCCGAAAGAAACCTGGCACCAGGGGACTGGGAGGACCGCAAAGAGAGATTTGGAAGGCAGAAAACGCTATAAACCGAAATTATACATATAATTGACATTACAACAGAAAACTAACCTTATTCAATATTCCTTCACGATATAATTGACATCACAAAAGATAACTAAACCCTACATAACACTCTTTCACGGTATAATTCACATTACAAAAGAAAACTAACCGTACATAACATTTGGAGGAATGATTAACGTTTCAAAAGAAAACTAACTTTACCCAACACCACCTATCTGTGGTTGTAGACAAAGTTAACAATGACCATGAAAACAAGAAAACCTAGATACTGAAAGAGGGTATATTCCATTTTTAGTAACTTACAGGGTGATTCAAAAAACCGCTGACAGACTTCTAGAGTAGATAATACAAGAAAAATTAAGAATAGTCTTAAATAATTTTTATGAATAGTCTTAATATACATGGGGTCGAGAATGCCTCGTTGGCGAGATATAGCGGATCAAAGTTTCTTTAAAATTAAACATTATCTGCAATAAAAAGCACTTTTTAAAAAATATTGTCTACGCCATTGCTCTTGCTTGTTGCTTTAATCAAAGTTTTGTAAGAAACCAATTGATAGATAATTGATCACTTTACACGAAAATACTGCCCGTTTGACAAAATTAGCAGTGGAGTTGAAAATATTTTTAAAAAAGTGCTTTTTATTGCAGATAATGTTTAATTTTAAAGAAACTTTGACCCGCTATATGTCGTTAAGGAGGCATTTGCCCATGTATATTAAGACTTTATCTTTCATCTTAATTTTTGATGTATTACCTGTCCTAGAAGTCTGTCAGTGGTTTTTTGAATCACCCTGTATATTAAAGAGAGGTGTAATAATTCTCTGTAATTGACTTAATGACTTAATACTAAATAAAGTGATGCATCTTCATTTATACATTTGAATGGAGTTTGAATATTCATCGAATTCTTAGTAAATTCCATCAAATCAGTAGATCACAAAAATAAACTTTGTTTCTTATAATTATGAAGCTATCATATTTTAAGCAATTTTGATAATCACAAATTTTTTAAAAACATCAAAACTTACCTTTGTAAGTAAGGACTTGGAGTTGATGGAACAGCTGGTAATGATAAAGTTGATCTTAAAGATAATTTTGATTGTGATAATTCCGAACCCAAATCTTCTAATATTCCACTACTCCTAAAATTATTTAAATTAATAACAATTTGTATTTAATATTTATATGTTTATTAAAAAAAACTTACTCATCCGAATCCCGAATTCTCATCCTATCCTTCAAATCGAAATCTAATCTCTCCCGACTCGATTCTTTGCTTGAAAATGCATCATCCATACTTCCAATACTGCTTCCAACATCACTAGGTTTCGGAAGAAATTTCTTAAAAGAAAAATATTTTTTAATTTAGTTTTAATTTAAATATAAAATTATTACCTGCGTTTTTGAAATTCGATTCTTAGCCTCCATCAAACTTTTCCTCGCTAAATACCCTCGACAACCCGCTTGGAACGCAATCAAACCCTTTTTAAGTTTTTGCACCCAATTTCTCGCTTTATACCCCCTCCATGTTTTCTGTATTTTAATCGCAGCGTTAATGGTCCTTACGTATTTTTGAACTAAATACATCCGACAATATGATTGTAACAAGATAACAGAGTTTCGTATCCTTAAATATCGACGTCGTTCTAACGTGGCACGGAACCAACGTTGTAACGTAACGATACTGGCCATAATTTGTTGATGCAATTTACAATCGAGTTTATACTTTTCAGATTCACGCAAAAAGATCTTGCTACATCCCAATTGGTAATTATCTCTATTTAAATTTAATGTATACAAGAAATTTCTCACGTCAATTTGGGAGCTTAATAGTCCTTTGGGTAATAAAATTCGATAAAGTTGGATGAATTCGTCGTATGTAACGCGCACGTTAAAACCTGCACGTCGAATTCGAACCGTCTCCAACATCCCAGTGTATCTTAATTGTCTTTGTACCGTTTCATTATCGAATTCATTCGGAATTTTGTTGCTGTTTGATTTTATGCAACGAATAAAAAATGGGTTTGCTTGATTTAGGGTATCCATTAAGGAATGTAACGATTGTTGAAATTGGGCTGTTACAGTTAAGTATTGCTTTCTGGTTGTGCGTTGACTTCCGGTTGTTAATCCGGTTCTTCCAGCTAACGTTTTTACGGATTGGAGATTTTTTAAGCCCTTTTTTGCACGTTCTCGAGGTCGGAATGATTTGTTTTTCCTGAATTAAAGTGAAAAAGACTTTTTTTAAGATTTAGTTAAAAAAGATGAAACAATCATGCATTTTTTTTTATATAAAATCATGCTTAAAAATGAAATATACAAAAATGGGTTTCGTAGTATGTACAAATGGTTTTTGTAACAAATAAATTAAAAAACTAGGTTTTTAATAATAATAATAATACTTTTAGGGTATCTAAAAGTTTTTGGATTTAATACTAAAAATAGCGTACAGAAAGAACAAGCCACCAGGTAAAGATAAAAATAAAAAATTATGTATACAAAGATTGTGTATAGGTTCATTTTTATAATAGCCAAGAAGCAAATTGGCGCGCACACACAAGTTTACAACAGTAACAAGAATATGGTGTGAAAAATAATTAAAGAAAAATGAAATGAATTTTATTTAAATGTAAAATAAAAGTTTATTTGTTTGAATGATTTTATTTTAAAATAAATCAAGCCAAAATTCACATTTAACACCAAATTCAAACGAACAAACCCAATAAAACAAAAAAAGATCCCAACACCAAACATTAAACTTCCTTTTTAAACCACAAAAATATACAACAAAGAATAATATACCACCACCACATAATATATTTTTTTTAATAATTTATTTTTGGACAAATGGTAATTTCAAAAACTTTTTTTATAAGTAAAATTTAGTGGTGGTACATACATAACGATTTGATTGGCCCGTTGCATAACGCGGGCTTCGTTGGGGCAAAGCCCTCGTTCTAATGCTGCTGAATTTGCCGCCGCGTTTCCCGCTGAATCTTTCCGGCGTTTCTCCTCCTCGGATTTTCGATCATTGGGACCGGCCGACGACGATACAGTCCTAGTTCTTTGATAAAATTGGGGCCATGATAAACGGTAGTGGTTGTTAGATGAATCGGGTTCTGGATTTCTGCCACCTGTTGGTCTGCTACTGCCCATCTGAACGCCTTGTTTGCTATTTATACCAAATTCGGTTTCTTTTCTTTCTTTTTTTAAGATTTAGATTTTTTTTAAAACCCAACCCAAATTTTTTTACAATTTGTAAGTTTTTCTAAAATTCTTTTATTAACTAACTATTACGTATTGTAGTAACAATAGTTACGAAACTACTATGCACTTGCTTTGTCCCACATAGAATGTAACATAGCTTAATGGTAGAGGCATTGAGTAGTTTTGTAAAGAAAAAATTTTGCTTCGAAAAAGGTGACGTCTTTATAACAAACCTGAGTTTTCGACCGTCTTAAGAGACGCACGGCTAAACCCGACTGTTTCTAGTTCTAGGTCTAGTGTTAGTTCTACTTTTCGTTCAATAAAAATAAGCCATAATCTAACGCTGAATAACAATTAAAACTGGCACTAACGCTAGATCTAGATCTAGAATCTAGAACATTCTAGTTTTAGACTTGAACTGTCACTAGAACTAACATAATACCTAGAACTAGAAACATTTGGGTTTAGCCTTACGTCTCTCAAAACGGCTATACCCGAATGATTCTAGTTCACAAGATAGTTCTAGCAGTTAGTGATAATGCTAGTGCAAAACTAGAACTAACACTAGACCTAGTACTAGAAAATTTCTAAACCCAAATGTTTGCTAAAAAAGTTTAAAAAAGTTTGCTAAACCCAAATATTTCTATTTCTAGGTCTAGTGTTAGTTCTAGTTTTAATTGCTATGCAGCGCTAGACCAAGAACTAGAATCATTCAAGTTTAGCAATCTTTAGAGACGTGCGGCTAAACCCAAATGATTCTAGTTCTAGGTATAGTGTTAGTAGTACATAGTAACAGTGCAAGTGTAAAACTAGAACTAACACTAGACCTAGAACTAGAATCATTCGGGTTTAGCCGTCTTGAGAGACGTGCGGCTAAATCCGAATGTTTCTAGTTCTTGGTCTGGTGTTAGTTCTAGTTGTTATTCAGTGCTATATTGTTGAATATTTTTATTGAACGAAAAGTAGAACTAACACTAGACGTAAAACTAGACACATTCGGGTGTAGCCCTCTTAACACATTGCTGACCGGCGATTTTATACAGAAACTATGGCTATTTTTTTCTAATTGAATGTGAAAGTAAAACGTTTTAAATAAACTCCAATAAATTTTATTTATACTGAATGAAATGAAATTAAACTTGGAACATACATCTACGTTTCTCAAATTTAGTTTATATTTGAGGTTCATACCGATCTTTCGATCTAAAGTAGTTTCAAGATACTGGCCACTTCCGGTCTGCCGGAAGTAGACTGCAACTTCGTTATTTGAAATGAAATGCTATAGTTTTTATTACACCTTCTAATTATATGCGCAAAAATATGTTGACTTTGAAAATATATACCTAGAACTAGAATCATTCGGGTTTAGCCGTCTTTAGAGACGTGTGGCTAAACCTAGACTACCAGATTATTGTATATTGTTACTGAACTATAACAACACTGTCTTTCCCGTATTAATCCGTTATATCGAGGTTTTACTGTAATGTCAAATTATATTGACATGTTGCATTTTATGGGGAGCAAAGTAAGTAGGTACTCCCTGGTTTCTATGGAAATATACCGGGTGTTTCATTTAAAATTGCATATGCTTATATCTCAAAAACTCGAATCGAAAAAAGTTTCAAGTAAACATTTTTTGCTGAGAAGGGGGACACATTGTACACATGAACAGAATTTTTTCCAGGGTTGCCTAAAGGCTCTTCTGACGTCATTTTTATTTTTTCAAATGGTACATATACTTTTTTCTTTCAAAGTCTTAAACAATTTGACAAACTGATTACTTTTTGCTTAAAAAATTGTTTTCTTAAACTCTTCGTTGTGAAGATATCAACAAAAACAAAAATAAAATAACATTTTTCAAAATGTAATTAAAAAAAAAACGATTTAATTAATCGTAAAATAATATTAAAATTCTTCTTAACTTTTGAAATCGTCTTAGAGAATTGATTAAACATTTTTTTTTAATGTTTATAAATCGAGTAAATCCTGTTCGAAACCTTGTTTGGATGTGCGCTAACTTGCACGTGGGATAAAAATTTCAAGCGAAAAAATCTTCTCTACTGCACAGAAAATTCAGATGGTGTTAGCTTACGGTGAAAGTCGTGAAAATTTCGCTGAGGAGAAAGAGCGCCTTGTCCTAAAACTTTATATAGAATAGTTACAAAATTTCTGGAATGTGGTAAAGTGGAGGAAAAAAAAACGAACACGTGCAAGATCGGTTACGAATGAACAGAATCAAATAGCTATTTTAGCAGCTGTAGATGTTAATCCTCATGTAAGTTGCCGTCAATTATCAAAAGATTGGCAAAAGACAGGCATTTCGTTAACGAGTGTACATTGGATTTTGAAACTTCATAAATTTCATCCGTATCATGACTCTACACCAACAATTACATGGCGACGATTTCGAAAATCGTGTGCAATTTTGTACTTGAGCTATGGAAAAATTAAGATTGCATGAACTTTTTCTTCAATCACGGCCAAGTAAATCGTCATAACATGCACTACTGGTCACATGAAAATCCTCGTTGGCTAAGACAAGTTGATTATAAAAAACCTTGATCAGTTAATGTCTGGTGCGGCATTGTTGGCAATAAAATAATCGGACCCTTTTTTATTGATGGCAATTTGAATTTGAAGAAAGTATCGGAGTTTTTTGTTGAACGATTTACCGATTTTGTTGGAAGACCTTACTCTGGAGCGAAGACTATGGTATCAGCATGATGGACGTCCATCTCATTATGCTCTAGCCGAAAAAGAAGTTTTAGACGAAATGTTTCCTAAAAAGTGGATAGGACGTAATGGACCGGTGAATTGGCCAGCTAGATCACCCGACTTAACTTCTCCCGATTTCTTTCTTTAGGGTTACCTCAAAGAGAAAGTTTACAACCAGGTTCCAACAACACCAAACCTTTTCAATGAGAATTCAGAAATGTTTAGAAGTGAATGGTCATCATTTTGAGCATTTAATCGATGTATAAAGGTAACTTTATAAATTTTAATCAATGTTCTAAGGTGATTTCAAAAATAAAGAAGAATTTTAGTACTATTAATTAAATCGTTTTTTGTTAATTAAATTTTTTTAATTACATTTAAAAATGTTGTTTTATTTTCCTTTTTGTAGATATCTTCATAACGCAGAATTTAAGAAATAAAATGTTTAAGCAAAAAATACTTAGTTTGTCAAGTTGCTCAAGACGTTGAAAGAAAAAAGTATATGTGCGATTTGAAAAAATGAAAATGACGTCAGAAGGGCCTTTAGGCAACCCTAAAAAAAAATCTTTTCACCAAAAAGAGTATACTTGAAACTTTTTTCGATTCGAGTTTTGGTTTTCGACATATAAGCATATGTTATTTTAAATGAAACACCCTGTATTTTAGAATATTGCATTTTAAGTGAAATTCACTGAATATGATTGTTTGACAAAAACAAAGTGTAAAAATTTTTACAAAAATTGATCAGAAAAAGCGAAACTAGATAGATTTTTGATAAAATTACAGTTAAATAAGGAGTCGCACAAGAATCTGTACATGATCTGTTGGTGTTTTAAATATTTATTAATAACATGCCTAGCTGGTTGTTGCACAGCTCGCAAGTTGTAGTTTATGAGGATGCTAATACACGCTCTAATTTTAACACTCTTAATCAAGTTGTGTCTAGATCTACCCAGGAACCTCCTATCTTGGTTTGATTCTAATAATCTAATAATCTTGCATTAATTCGTCTAAGATTGAGTCATCGAGATTTGCTCTATGGGGAATTCCACCAAATATCACTCAGCTGGTTAAATATCTAGGACTGATACTAAAAATCTGATAAATATGGTACCATTTAGAGCTTACAAAACCAGAATTTCGATAACCAGGATCTTGGACAAAATTGGTGCAGTATTTAAAACCGGTATTTCGGGATTAATTTATCAATCCGTATTTTTGGGGAAGTGGTAGTGCGTAGTGCTTGCTAAACTTGGCGCTGACGCGCTGTCTTACAATTCCAGTTAGGACTTGTTAGACGCTAGAAGGCACAATTAACAACAATTTAGTTTACAACTCATAAAGTAAGTAAAGTTACAATAAATAATATTTTATTATTTAAATTATTTTAATTAGCAGGTTATGGATAAAAAAAACGATTTATCGATCATAGAAAAGGGGATGATGAAACATGAGTGTGGTATCATTTCCTAATAGAGTTCAATGAACAAATTGCTAAATGTAAAAAATGTTCGAGGGAAATAAAATGTACTGGTACACATACATATACATACAATACATTAATTTAATGTGAAGAAAAGATGTGAACCCACTACCAGCGACTCTGATAGTCAAATTATTTCCAAGAAACCAAAACTGATTACCAGCTATTTCAAAAACAAAAGGAATGATGCACTTTCAGAAGTACTGGCCCGTATAACTGCTTAAGACGGCTTGTCATTTTATATCTTTATTGCCTCTCAAGACATCAGAGACAGTTTACGAGCAAGAGTATTTGCAGATATCCCAAAAACTTCAACCACAAAACTAATGTTTATCATTAATTGATTCAAAATCTACAAGAACCGTCCTGCTTATGATCAGCCGCAGAAGTAATCATTGTACCACCACTAGAATCCTCTAGTCCTCCATCTTTATCTGATCGCGACATACTACAAAGGAAATTGCAGGAAGCCATAAAGGAGTCGTTCATCCCTTAATGATAAAACTATTAACAGTTTCAAGGACATACTCCAATAGAATAAAATAAAATATTCTAATTGTTTTAATATTGAATATATTTATATTGAAGTGTTTTTTTAGTTGCTTTGTTTGGTTGTTTCAAGTTTTGCACTATAAGACTTAATAAATTAAATTTGCGTTTTTTATTTTTCTTTTATAGTTTCAGCAATAAAGAAGTCAATACCGGTATTAATACCGGGATCCCGGGATTCACATTGATTAACACCGAAAACAGGAGGTATTCTAAGCTCTAGTACCATTTGACAATTTGATTGAGCTGGAGTGGTGGGCGTTTGAGAGTTAATTTCCTAAACTGTCCGGGCCCTGCTTATTATGGACACTTCTACCTACAGATATCCTACGTCATTCTATGTTGGGGTCACTCTATTCACGCTGCCCAGGCTTTTCGAATGCAAAGGAGATGGTTGAGAGTTATAACTTGCGCTATGCAGAATGTTGCGGACCAAATTGATTTCCATGTTATTTTTTTGCTTGCTGTACTCAGCTTATGTAATTGTCTACATCAAGAATATAGAGGTTATGAGTCAACAGGTGTTGGAACAGGTGTAACAATATGAATTTTATCAAGGTTTTTATGAGAGGCATTACAGAAGATTATCTGATGACGTAGAATATTTTAAGGATTATTAATAATTAGAAAATATTTTATGTCATTGTGTAGTTAATCATATCTGATAATGTTGTGGGAGTCATAATAGATTTTACCAGGTACCGTTGTTCTGGTTCCAAGATATCAAAACAATCTTAATTAACTAATCTCAATTTAGATCTGATTGTAAATGTTTTAAAAAAAATCTATTCATTTGGGTTGGGTTTTAAAAAAACTACATTTAAAAAAATGAGTTAAAAATAAAATGAAATGTGAAATGAAGGTATTTTTTTGTTGTTGTAATAATTAATAGAAACAATTAACAGCCAAGAACAACAACGAATGAGATCACAAAAACACACCATACATGCACAAAAAACTGTTTGTTTTTGTTTAAAACGGAATTTTAGAAAGGGGGCTAAAAAAGTGCCGTTGGAAAGAATAAAGGGGGTGGATTTTCTGAACGAAAACTACCATACGATTTTTTGTGTTTTTAAGGGGTTGGGGGTTTATAAAATCTCTTTTTTTATCTTGGAATATCGGACTTACGCAATTCTGTTAACGGTTAGGTTCACCGCAGAAACGGTCACAAGATAGCTAATAACAAGAAAGTCCTTCAGTATTTTTTTTAATTTTGTTTTAAATAATTCAAAAAGTTTTTTATTAACTTTTTAGAACTTTTTAAAAACGTTTTTTTCGCGGCAAATAATGATAAAAAACATTTAATAAGCTTAATTCAACATTAAAAAATACTAAAAAGAAAAATAAAACTATATATAAAGAAACCAACGAATAAATTAAAAATTAATACATAAACAATAATAAGCACCTTTTTTAGAACTAAAAAAAGTGCTAAAATTTGTAAATTTAAATAATCAAGAAAATTTTTGATTTTTTATAATAGTAATTTACCTTATAATGTTTTCATTGGGGACATGATTCCTACTATATCTTTGTTGAATATTATTCTTATTCCCATCAACTCTTCCTTGGCGATGTTTTCTTCCAGCCTCATGGAAAGCAAAATACGCCCGGAAAAAAGCTCGAACGATGGCCCAACGAAACACAGCCACCGGATCAGCTCCAACCAATTCACGAACAAACGCCATCGAGCTGTTCTTTAACACCCCAACGATGTCTTGTCGCATTAAATCCAAGTTTTTCTCGCGCATATCTGAAACTTGGTATTTAACCTTTCCGGCGTAATGAACCACGATGAAAGCCCCTTCGCGTTTTTGAGGTTTTTGGTAAAACTTGCTATCTTTATGGACCGTGTTGAATTTTTGAAGGAGGGTTTCGTTTGTTGCACCAGGAAAACTAAAGAAAAAAATATATAAATAACAATAAAAATATAAAAGATAACTTTGTTAACGTTTAATGCGTTATCAACAAAAACTAATGCGGATATTCTATTTTAAAACCTAGATAACATTTAAAACGAATTAAAAGGAATTACATCCGAAAGAGTTTTCATTCATAATAATAAAGTGTTTATATTAAAATACGTTTAAAACTTAAATTAATTTAAAATATCTTTAATTCTATTTGTGCCAATTAATCTATTAAGACGCACCTTTTCGTATTTATTTTTTTTTCAAGCTAAATTAAAATAAATTTTTGCTATTTTTTTCATTAAACCATTAGTATAACTATTAGTAAGTCAAAAAAATTTTGTATAATTGTTTTTGTAATTCGCGACGGTAATGAAAGCTATTACAGTACTCAAACGAGTGCTGTAATGAAACTCCTTACAGCATCCGATTCTGTAATGAGATTTTAGTAACATTTTATGGAAGCAGTTCAAGTTGGTGACATCGGGTCATTAATTTTTCTAGTTGTCAGTGTGACAATTTGAATTGGAATTTCGTAATTTAGCGTATTGTTGTTCGTACCTTTCGTGGGACTTCTCTGGAAGTAGTGTGTTTTAATAAAACTCTGAGCAATTTCTCTTATTTCGAGAGGTGTACATGAAACATTTTTTTCAGGTGTATACATTTTGTGTTTTGACAATTTCTAATTTGTGTCAAGTCAATTCAAATTTCTATATTCAAGCGTTGCGGTGTTACCAACTGCTACATACCTATTTCCCTGCATTGTCAACATTTATTTTATTTTATAAGTACGAAGGCTTTCACGGCCGGTGTGAATTAAACTAAAATTAGAACTAAAACTAGAACTAACACTAGAAACCTTCGGGTTTTGCCGTGCGTCTTTTCATAAAAGGTTTGACGTTTCGGATGCCATGTTGCAACCTTCTTCAGAAACTGGTTCGAAGTGATTTTCGAAGTGAACCAGAAAGTTTCTAGTGTTAGTTCTAGTTTTAGTTCTAATTTTAGTTTAATTATTTTATTTTTGTTAAAAAAAAAAAGATAAAAACGCGAATTACAAAAAATATTAATATATTTTATATTATGATATTAAAAAATCGTGGCTTCGCCACTCGTTTTTAATCTTGAATCCGTGCATTTCAAGCGTGTCTTACGAAACTAGTTTTTTAATATACTATTATTTAATCATAAACGAAACGCGCACCTTTGGCTGAAAACAAATACTTTTAAAACTACGTCAAGTATTTTTTCACACCATTGTTTGCAACAATTTACTTACCCTACGTATTATATGTATAACCGCATTTATGCAAGTAAAGTGAACTCTTAGTTTGTTGTAGTTATAGTTTTTTGTGAATCTTAAAATTAATTTTCAATCAAGACTGCAAAAATAAAGTGTCATAATAGTTATTTATATTACAAGTGGGCTAGAAACATATTTACTGTACGAGTGTGGAGAATTGCACGACGAGGTCGTAGACCGAGTCGTGTAATCACACGAGTACTGTAATTATGCTCTAGCCCACGTGTGATATACAACATTTTATCTGCGACTGCTAAAAATTACTTAAAAATCAATTTCTTTAAAAAAGTCTATTTTGACATTTATAAGAATATTTTGAAATGATTGTTGACAATTTTGAATTAATGTCAGTTTCAATAACATGTTTACTCATCTGGACGAAGTGTTTCGAAATGTAAAAACATAACAATTAATGTTTATAATAAATAGTATTGTTTCTCTTTAAATAGGTAGCACTTTTTCTTTTGTATTGTTGCTCGTTTCAATAAGTTAAATCTGTTCTGATTGGACTAAAAATGCATTACGTAATGAAACCAGTGCGGTAATGAACTTCATTACGTAAATCACCTCAAATGAATGTGGTAATGATGACTTATCCAAGCAGTGGTAGATAAAATAAATAATTAGTAAGTGGCAATAAATAAATAATTTATGTATGTAATAATTTTTTGTCCTTATAATTCAGTAAGTACGAGATGAAAACGGTACTGACAAGTAAAAAAATGCTTTCTCTGTTGGAAGAAGATATTGTCGGTGGAAACGCTAATATAAGGAAGTAAACCGATGAAGAAGGTGTAGATGATAATCTTATGGAAGAAGGGAATATCGAAACAGACATTACTGGAAGTTTTGAAATGCACCGTCATAAAAATGTCGACGATGAAGATTCAGAAGATGATGTTAAAAGGCTGAAAAAGAGTGATAGCAAACAGAAAAATTAGGTACCGGACTGGACGAAAATTCAAAATCCATCTTACTCCGTTGCGCCTGAAAAAAACGACCTCTTACAATTAGTGGAAGACATAGAAGTTCTCCACGCTAATAAAACACCCATGGAAATGTCCTTATTTTTTGACGATGAAATTGTAAATCAAGTTGGAAGTAGTTTGTAAAATATTCCCTCTTGCCCAGCCTAAACGGTATAACAGAAAAGAATGATGGTCACATTTGAATCACAGACTTTTGATATCATCATGATTAGCGAGACATGGTTCAAACCCTCCCTCCCTCGTTCTTATTATCAATCCCAAATTATCGCCTACTGAGAAATGATGGGGAGTTTTCACGAGGCGGGGGATTGGCGTTGTTTGTTCGCGACCATTTCAACATCAATATTATTCCTTAATCTGATGGATCACAACAAAATGCGTACTTGTTTACTGAGGTAACGGTGGCTAGCAGCTGTTGGGCACGTTTCACTGCCCACCGAACTTACATTACTTTGATCAGTTATAGGATGTACTGGAGAGGCACACTCTTAATTACGATACTATTCTTCTCATGGGCGACTTTAACACTTGTCTCTTAAGGAACAACCTACGCTGTGAAAAACTTAAATTCACCACCTCTTCCCTCAATCCTTCTATTTTACCGACCCAACCTACATACCATTTACCAACATCTTAGTCGATGTTAGACCTTATTATAACGTCCTGTCCAGACAGCACATTTTATCATGGTCTAATTTGAGCGTCTCAGTTCTCCAACCCCGACTTGGTCTATTGCACACTTGAGATTTGGCGTCGTGTGATACCTAGACGTTATGTCTCCACTCAAAATTACAGCAGAATCAAAGATTAAAGAGTAAACAAGATGTGACGCATCGTGTCGGCATCTTTGATGTAAGTCCTTATTTTTATGATTTATTTTTAAATTGTAATGGTTTGTTATTGTCAGGACATTTAAATTGGAATGACTTTTCAAAACTAGAATTTCTCACTCTAGCGTCGCATCTTGTTTACTCTTTAATCGTTGGCACAATCAACAGCGATGTATTGATATCTGATGCTTTTGCGATCGATTGGTTATATTTATACCGTATGTCGGATATTAACGAAAAGGTTAACTACTTCAATACACAAATTAGTGAACTGTATGACTATCATGCCCTTTACTTCCACACAAAACAAAACACTTGCCTGCACCCTGGCTCAACAATGAGGTCAGAGATCTCATGCGCAGACGCAATGCTGCAAAAACTCTTCTTTGAAGACATCCTCCCAATGCTAATTGGGAAAGCTACCGTGCTTTATGTAACCGCTGCAACCACCGTTGCAAGAATTTAAAAAAAAATTGTATATTTATCGGAAATTGTCCTATGCTACCCCCAATACTTTCAGGAAAACCATGCGTTCTCTTGATGTAGTTGAATCTCCTTCTTACCATAACATGTAAGGTATCAACAATTCTCGTCATTAATGCCTCCGCTAATATCAGTTCCAGATTTTCCTTGGAGTTGTTTTACGAATTCCAGGTCCTCCAGGCTCTCAGACATTTTCGGTCCACTAGTGTTGGTGCTAATGGCGACAGCATTAAGCAGCTCCTTCCTATTTTGGATATAATCATTCTTCCACTACTCCACATATTTAATTCCTCCATTGAGACATCGTCCTTCGCTTCTATTTGGAAACTAGCTTATGTTGTACCCATACCTAAACTTAAGTGTCCTACTCGTCTAAGTGATTTTTCTCCTATATCTATTATTTCCTTAATTTCTAAACCACTTGAGCGCTTTTTGTATGTGCAGGCACAGCGGTATTTTGATGAGCACAAGATTATCACTGATTTTCAATCTGGTTATAGCACGATATCGGCGCTTATCAAAATTACTGATGATATTAAACGTGGCTGTGATGACCGTCGTCTGACCTTATTGCTTTTGCTTGACTTCAGCAAGGCATTTGATTCTGTTGATCATGGCTTGTTGGTGGCAATTCTATCTTCTGTAGGTTTGTCGCCGAGCTGTGTCGCTTGGTTTCAATCATACCTTTCTAACCGTTTCTTGTGTGTACGTGACTCCTCATCTTCCTCGTCTGTATTTACAAGCCGTTACGGTGTGCCTCAGAGCAGTGTTTTGGGTCAACATCTCTTCTCCGTCTTCATAAATCGCATTATTAAGATAATTAAGTGCAACTTCACACATTTTAAACTTGTTAAAACAGTTAAAAACTTGGAGGTGATGGTGGATTCTGCATTGTCCTGGCAGCCCCAGGTTCAGTCTGTCTGCAAGAAGGTTTATTTTTGTTTCTACTCCCTACGCAAACTTGGTTGTCTCCTTCCACCTATTGTTCGTCACAACCTCCGTTATTCTTTAATTCTCCCCCATTTGGACTATACTGATGCCGTGTACCCAAACCTCTCGATTATTCTCCGTAACAAATTAGAGAAGTTACAAAATAATTGTCTACGCTTTATTTTCGACCTGAGAAAATATGATCATGTTACACCATATCGTAATCATCTCGAGATGCTTACTGTTGAGAGGCGTAGATCCTTTCGCATATTAACTACCTTATACAAGATACTTTCCTCTCAATCTCCAATTTACCATTTCCTATAGTCCGGGAAAAACGATTTTCTTCAAACTTTCGCATAACTCAGCCCGTTCGGGGTTTTTAATCCATCTAATTTCAACGGCATCGTATTCCTGGTGGCCTCTTGCCTCAGATTCAAAGAGAAAATTTTCCTAACTATTTTTTATATTCCAAGAAAATCGTTTTTCTTCAAACAATCGCAAATTTTGGCCTGTTCGGGGTTTCTACTCAATCTAATTTCAACGGCATCGTATTCCTGGTCGCCTCTTGCTTCAAATTCAAAAAGAAAATTTTCCTAACCATTTCTTATATTCCGGAAAAATCGTTTTTCTTCAAGCAATCGCAAATTTTGGCCTTTTCGGGGTTTCTAATCGATCTAATTTCAACGGCATCGTATTCCTGGTCGCCTCTTGCTTCAAATTCAAAAAGAAAATTTTCCTAACCATTTCTTCAATCCAACAATCAATTGGACAATTGTTTATAATAAGTTTGTGCTTTTCTAGTTTCAATAGTCATTGGATCAAAATATAAAACTTGCTGATCTTCAACATTTGCTACCATTAGCATCCCAATGACTACTACGTAACATAGGAAAAAAATATTTTTGGAATTTGCTAATTGTTTTTGGTAAAAACCCGTTCATAATATTTTCTACTTCACTTTTTTTTTCTTTTTTTCCATTAGGAATTTGATTAATATAAGACAATTTCTTTGGCGGGTCTGTTTTAACTTTTTTTGAGTACGCCGCTTTTATGTGTGAATACGTCTCTTTTTTTCGTTTTCCCCAAGATTCTTCAAATTCTTTTGCAGTTTTTTTAATATTATATCTGACTTCGTTGTATTCACTTAGAACATAATTTCTGATTTTACGAATAAATCTGGACGGTTTGTCTCTTAATTCATTTTGATTGAGAATATTGTTTTTAACAATGTTGAACTAGTTTTCAACCAAATTGTTGTGTTGTATTGATTTTAATAAACTTGTCCACTGTTCCATCGGCATATATGAAACATGCTGTAAAAACGTCTGTCCAAATTGACTTGAACAATAATTGTTTTTCTTTAAGTGTTGTTCATTTTTATACTGATTGCAATTGTACTGAATTTTATTAAAGTAGTATATTATTTCTTTTTCGTAGTCTCCAGCGACTTACAGCCAATACATTTCATGTTACCAAAAAATTTTTATGTATGTATGCCCGTGTTTTGTTAAACCCTTCATCAAAGACTCACATTTCAAGCCCACCACTTTTTCCTTTAAGAAGAATACGATGCCGTTGAAATTAGATCGATTGAAAACCCCGAACTGGCCGAATTTTGCGAAAGTTTGAAGAAAATCGATTTTCCCGGACTATAGGAAATGGTTAGGAAAACTTTTATTTCGAATTTGAAACAAGAGGCGACCATGAATACGTTGCCGTTGAAATTAGACCGATTAAATACCCCGCTCACGCATTTTTTTCAGTTGAAAATCAATGGCCAACTTCACACGCGTTAAGAAATCACCTGTTGTCTCTACAGTTATCTGAAACTGATTTTTGATGTCATCTGCTTCTTCTCGTTTCCCTCTTCCAGACAGCTGACAGCGTTATTTGCTCTTTTCCAATCATTTTTCACTTGATCCGATTTTCTTTCTTTCTTGTTCTCTCCTATTCTTTTTCTGTTACTTGACATGTAGACTTAGTTTTTTTTTTTAGTTGCCATATTAATTATTTATCTTAATTTCATACATAAATTGCCGGTTGGGTCTTTTTGAAAACATCGCCTTTGGCGATAAATTTTAAATTTGACCATTTGTCAACTTTGTGTTTATATTATAGAATAATGTATATTTTTCTGTTATTATTGTAAATCTTGGTGGCAATAAACTTATTATAAGAAAATATAATAATGTTATTAAAAAAAAACCATACCATATAATTTTGCAAAAAATGTAAAGTACATCTGCACGCTGATTGTTTTGAATATTTTCATATTAATGTATAATATCAGTTATTAAATTATGTACTCTTATTTTCCAAAGTTTGAATAAATTATGTTCTAAATAAACACAATTGATTTTTTTTAGAATAAACTTCAAAATGATCTCATTTAAGATAGTTTAAGGAATATTCAATCAATATTTAAAAATAAAAACGGATTTTAGTGGTCATAAATGGATTAATCTAACTAATCTTACAATAAATAACGATATAAGATTTTTTTACTTACTTGCATTGATCATCCAATAAACACAATAACCCATTTGGTTTTCCTTCAATCAATTGCAAACACCCAGTATTGTCCATAAAATCAATGTTAGTCCAACGAATACCCTCCTTTCGATACTCCTCTTGTTCGTATTTAAAAACGTGTTGATTAAAATAGTATTGAAGATGTTCGTTAGCATAATTAATACACAATTGTTCAAAACTATTACACAACCCGAAATCTTCAAAACCAAAAATGTCTAAAACCCCTATTGAATTTCCCTGATGTTCCCTCAAAGTATCTTTTTTTGATAATAAAGCGTGATTAACTTGGAGAACGATCCAATCGAAAAGGGCTCCATATAAACATTTAGCCATCGCATCCCGACTTGCAATCGCTTCAGGAAGTCGATAATTAATGATTAAAACTTCACCGGAAGCTTTGGCTTTTTTACAAGTTAAAGCTTGAAGAAGTGTTTCTTGTTTTACTTTTAATAATTCGGAAATTAACGAAACTACTTCCGGGTTTTTTACAGCCACGGCTTCGTCGTGGTGGTAAGCTGATTTTCTTGGTTGAAATTCAACGTTTCCGAGGAGAAGAACGGCGGAAAGAACTGAAAATAATCTACGTTGTTTTTCCGCTGTAAACCCAACCATTTCCATTGATTGTTTTAATCGGGAAAATTCGTAACTCTCATCGACGTTATCAAGGGTGTAACAACCACTCATATTTAAATAGTTGTATTGATCAGGTGGTTTTAAATGTAATAATTGTTTTTCTTGTTCTGTGGCTCCTTCGAGAAGGTAATAAAATACATGATAGTTTCTTTCGTTTCGACCTTGAGTGCAAATCCGAGATTTTTCCAATAAATATTTTTGAACTACGGCTCCATGAACCATCCCGTTTTCTTTATAATTAACCTGAATAAATTTTCCGAAACGACTCGAATTATTATTATGAGCAGTTTTCGCATTTCCAAAGGCTTCTAAAACAGGTCCGGCCGATAAAATAGTTTGTTCAACTCCACTGCCGTGCGTTCCTTTTTGAGATAAAGCCGTTAAATGGTGTAATAAAAAATTAGTGCTTTCTGTTTTTCCGGATCCGCTTTCCCCGCTAATAACAATACACTGGTTCTTACGATCTTTTAACATACAATGATACGCAGTATCGGCTACTGCGAAAATATGAGGTGGTAAATTTGGGCCTAATCGACGATTTTGATACAATTTCACATACTTTGGATTATAAATTGGATAAAATTTAAACGGATTAACAGCGATTAAGATTGAACCAACGTACGTGTATATATGACCAGCTGTAAATCGAGCTCTTAAATTGTCAAGTAAAGTTTGTTCGTTTAAATCGGGTAGTTGACATAAATCCGGGTATTCCCTATCTTTTGGTTGGTATAAAAATCGATGAAAATAGTCTTTGATTAATTGAGGATCCATCACAAAACTGTCCCTCCATACGTAATCGTTCACTTTTTCACGCAAATAAAACCGATAACACGAATTGTCCGAGCGCATTTTCGGCCATAATAACATTAACTGTACCGGACTTTCATTCGGCAATAAACAACGTTCTTTACATTCTTGTCCAGAAGAATCCCCGATGACTTCAGCAAGTTCATAAGTACCGCGAGGATTTTCATTCAAAGATAGCCTTTCAACGATACACGAGACGATTTCATCCGCTGTTGTTTGTTTACTTGCTTCAACTGAAAGGGCTTCGTAGTACGCCGAAAGGGCTCCAACGTAAACTTGAACAATATGTCGGTCGTTCGACATTTTTCTTCAATTTGTTTCACTTTTGATCGTTTTCGTTGTAACTTGTATATTTCAAAACACAAATGAGATCAAACGTGTAGTGTCGAACGATGAGTACGTTGGCGGTGTCATATTTGTAGCCGTTCTGTTTCGGGTTATCATTGCATACCTGGAAATTAGAACGAAAAATTTATTTTGTGGAAAAATTTCTTTATCGTTGTTTAAATTTTTTTATCTAAGATATGATTATCTCTGCGAAAATTGATATGATAATTTTATTATAGGATTGTGGTATACAGTTTGCTCTGTAAAAAAGGTTTTGTTGTTCAATTTCAGTTTATGTAAAGTATCAAAAAATATTAAAAATCCAAAAATAACTATATATTTTATTTTAATAAAGCCTCCTTATTAGTTATTAAATATAACTCTGAATACAACAAAGAAATATTTTAATAAACAAGTTCTATTTGCAACAATGAAATAAAACGTGATAAGAATCACCTACAAAGAAATGTAGCAGAAGAAATGTTTGCAAGTCCAAGTATATATTTGTTTGTTCGACACTTTAAAGACAACGATGAGAAATGAATATCACAAATAATTAAGGAAATATAAATGGACTATTCACAGTGTGAGTCATGGTATTATTAAATTGTCCAAACAACAAGTTAAAAACAATGGTTTTACAAGTTGTGTTTTTGAGTTATTGAAATCTACTGAGGAAATGATCGTGATAACGTCCAGATTACTGAGTAGATTAGCTCAATCCAGACTCTACTCATAGCAGCTACATGCGATGATTGTGTCAATAAGAACCATTGGGAAATGCTGAGGAAATCATTCAGAGAAAGTGAGATAACAACTACATTTTACAAACTGGCGATAAAATAGACATTACAAAATTTAAAAACGTGGCACGATTGTAATTCAGAGTTTGCTTGATTCGATTGCAATCTGAATTCTTTCAAAAACATGACTATTGTTACCATATGCAAGATAATGAACTTTTACAATAAACTATTTACTATTATAAAAGTTAATCATCATACTTTTGAATGAAAAGGAAATTATTATTTACAATAGCTGATAAAATTTAGTTTATTATTATTTATTTATGATATCTTTTAGTTACGATAAAAAGCGTGGGTAAAATTATAAAGCCACAAATGAAAAAAGTTTACAAGGGTTTTCCAGTTGGGCACGTTGTTCAAATATACAAGATAAATAATGATAAACTAAAGTTTAAGCTAGAGAAACCAAATGAGCCTAAAACAACAAATAAATACCTTGGATTGGATGCTATTTTAGTGCTTAAAATTAACTTGAAAAATAAGTATTAAGAGTCAAATGATTTAAAAATGACATATTAAATGTCAAATTTTTACATTTGACATGATATGATAAAGTCAAATTAGGATTTAAAATGAGTTAAAATATCATTTATAATTAAAGTAATGTAAAACACTCATGAAAAATTTTATTGAACATAAAAAAAAACGAATTTTATCAAAAAATTATATTAAAAAAATAAAAAAAATCAATTTGAACGCTAATTTGACTTTGATGAAAAATGTTTGAAAAAAATCAAATTAGGGTTGATGATTTTTAATTCATTTTGATTTATTAGTTAAAATTGAAAAATAATAATTTCATAAAAAGAACATCACAAAAACAACAAAAAAAAATTTAATTAACATAAATTAATAATCAAATAATAAAAATTGATATTTTTTTGAATGCTAATTTGACTTTGACGTATGAAGAATGTATGGAAAAGTCAAATTAGGGTTGATGATTTTTAATTCATTTTGATTTAAATATCAAAATTGAAAAAATAGTAATTTCATAAAAACAATATTATAAAATCAACAAAATATGTAATTGACATAAATAAATTAAGTTAAAAAATAAAAATTGATATATTTTTTAATACTAATTTGACTTTGTAGTATGAAAAATGTATAAAAAAACATCAAATTAGGGTTTAATTCATTTTGATTTAAATGTTAAAATTAAAAAAACAATAATTTCATAAAAAGAACATCATAAAATCAACAAAAAGTATGTAATTAACATAAATTAATAATTAAAAAATAAAAATTTACATCTGTTTGAATGCTAATTTGACTTTAAAGTATGTATGGAAAAATCAAATTAGGGTTGATGATTTTTAATTCAATTTGATTTAAATATCAAAATTGAAAAAAATCATAATCCCATAAAAAGAACATCATAAAATCAACAAAAAAAATGTAATTGACATAAATAAATTAATAATTAAAAAAATAAAAATTGACATTTTTTTGAATGCTAATTTGACTTTGAAGTATCAAGAATGTATGAAAAAATCAAATTAGGGTTAATAATTTTATTATTAATTCATTTTAATTTAAACATCAAAATTGAAAAAATAATACTTCATAAAAAGAACATAAAATCAACAAAATGTAATTTGTTGCTATGTAATTGACATAAATAAATTAATAATTAAAAAATAAAATTGACATTTTTTTTGTATGCTAATTTGATTTTGTAGTAGAAACAAACTTAAAAGGTGTCATTTAGTGCTTAAAATGGGTTGATATCGTTTTTAATTAGTTTTGGTCAAAAGTTGAAGTGGAACAATTAAAATGTGAATATTTATTGTTAAATTTTCAAGGGAATCACTAAATGGTTACATCGGTACAAGAATCTGTTGATTTCGAAAAGAAAAATAAGGTAAGTGGTAAACATAACCTAACTTTTAAATTTGATTTTTTGAGATCTAATAAGACAGAGGTACCAACCCTAAATATATAAAAACAAAAAGGAAGTAAAATAGCAACTTTAAATTAATTTTCACTTTATGCCTGAAAAATTAAAAAAAGTATTAAAAAAACTTACCCAAAAACTGAGTCAATTCTACAAAACGAGAACTAATAAGAATTAAGGTAAAATTTTGTTAAATAAAGTGAGGTTAAGTTATTCCAATTCATTCAAAATTGAATCGAATCCAAATCAATTATTAAAATCGATTTAAATTAAGAAAAAGCACAAGTTTTTGGATTTCAAATATTTTTTAAACTTGGTACCAATTGAAGTGAAGTTATTAACCTCACCGAAGTGAGGTTATGTTATTAAAATTAAATTAAAACTTTTTACACTTATTCAACCATACCGAAATAGAATTGACCCCAAATTAATTAAGCATTACAAAGCACTTAAAACTAAGTTAATAAAAATAAAAAATTAAAATGAAATTTTTTTCAACTTGGTTCAATGAGAAATAATAACTAATTATATTTAAGACACTATGTAATAAGTATTTATCACTTCCATTCTTAAACAAGGATAATGACTAACATTTAAGTGACTCTTTTAAATTAACTCAAATCTCATTACCTACCTTGATTAAAAAAAAATCTTCTCCACCTTCAAAAAAAAAAAAAAATTGAAAAAAAAACAATCACTACCACCACCTAAAATAATCCCCCAAAAATTAAGAACAAAAACCAAAAACCACAAACAAAAACACAACATAAAAACACACAAACGCCTTACGTTGAAATTCATGTGATAGATATGCACACCCATAACATCGAGGCGACGACGGTCGTTTTTTGGGCGCCCGCGGCCAACGTGATGACGGAGATCGAACGAGGTTCAGATAGCGATGTTTACGGCCCTGATACACAATTCCTCACCTGGAACTTGAACGATTGACGGTTTCCGAATTTCTTTAGATTCGTTCTCGGGCCGGATTGTTTCCCTGCTCGGTCCAAATGTCTCCGGAGACCACGGCGGCCACCATTTTTATTTAGTTCGCGTAGGGCGGCTCTGCCTATCAAGGCCACAGCACACTTGTACGTAGTGAAGTCGCGACTCAATCGGTAAGTACGATGACGACGACGACAGTTAAGGATAATAATTGTGAGAACGATGAGAGAGTATTGTGATTTTGACGAGACAAGAATCGAAGGCGAATATCTCTATGTATTGTTTTGTATTAATACGTGATGGTTTTGTTATTGTTTGTTTCTCGATAATTCCCTGACGTTTCTATATTTATGTATTTGTATTGGGGGTTTGTTTGGTGTTTGGTATGTTGTGGGTACCCAAGGGGTTTGTTTTAATAAGAGATGAACCGACGTTTGAAAGCGTGACGTCAAAGCGCACTTCCCGTTTATCTTTTGTTTTAATTTTGTAAGTGTTGACAAGTCGTCGTTGCTCCTTTCTCTATTGTTATTATTATTATTGTTGTGAAATGCCATTCTTACTTTGTACAGGTAAATGTTTATTCTTTAATGAATAATACTTTTTTTAGATTTGTTGTGCTAAAAATGTGAAAATTATAAAAGTTTTTGTTATTTGTAATTATTTTGAAAATTGATCGGTTTATAGGCAACCCAACCAACACGTTTGAAGACTCCTTTTATACAGAGTGAATCAGAAAGAATGTAAAAAGTTTCAAATTCGTATTTCTCATGCTCGAAAACATAAAACTACCAAATTTTATGTTAATAATACAAAAAGTTTCAAAATTAACAAGAGATCTCGAAATAAGAATAGCGTAGAACCTTGATATAACGGATTTAATAATAATAATAATAATAAATAATAATAATAATAATAATTCAGCTTACAAATGTTTTACATGTAATAAAAGAAAATATAAAACAGATAAAGCCCCGTCAAGAGAAAAAATATAAATATATGTACAGGGTGAGTCAGAAAGAATAGGAAATCCGAATACCGGAGACACTAGACACCAAAATATGATGATTTAACCTAACATGTCTTATACAAATGTCGGTGGTTTTTAATACACAGGGTGTTGAAAGTTAAATTTTTATTTCGAAATTTCTTGATAACTTTGAAGGTTTTTGTACTATTAACATAAAATTTGGTAGTTAGATGTTTTCGAGCATGAGAAATACGAATTTGATATTTGTTTTGTGATTACTCGTAGAGGGCGCTAGATACACAATGTACGTTTGAGATATCAAGTCATGACTATTTTGTCAGTTGAGGTATGGTGAATTAGAACCAGAAATCTGAAGGAGTTTTTAATTCTGCACAAAAAAGGTACTCTTGCTTACATTGTCTAAATCTACTGGTTTCCAAGTTATCTGCTTTTAATTGTTTCAAAGTAATTTTAAGGTTAACATTTAAAATCAATAACACACAGTAACTATAGCAAATAGTAACGATAATAATCGATAACAATAACAATTAATTAATAACAATAGAATATTATGACCATTTTCAAAAATCCAGTGGACTTACATCTGGATTTCTCACTATTCAAAAACTCATTATGTCGTGGCATTGTCAAATTGGTAATAACTTTATTGTTGGTAAAAATGATTATTGCACACGGAAATTAGATCAATGTTGACAATTAACAGGCAATTGTCGAAACTTAAGCGGAAAAATAAACCAACTCTGCTTATGTTAAAAAATAAATATTTTAGAAGAAAAAATACATTTAAACCTAAATAATTCGAAAACCGTTAGGCTTAGACAATTTCAATAAGAGTACCTTTTTTATGTAAAATTGAATGCTCTTTCTGATTTGCAACTCTTATTGGTCGTAGCTGTCGAGCCAAAAAACTTATGATTTGATTTATCAAACGAGCAACGTGTATCAAGCGCCCTCTACGAGCAATAACAAAACAAGTTTCAAATTCGTATTTCTCATGCTCGAAAACATAAAACTACCAAATTTTATATTAATAGTACAAAAACCTTCAAAATTATCAAGAAATTTCGAAATAAGAATTTAACTTTCAACACCCTATGCCTCGAAAACCACTGACATTTGTATAAGAGATGTTACGTTAAATCATCATATTTTGGTGTCTAGTGTCTCCAGTATTCGGATTTCCCATTCTTTCTGACTCATCCTGTATACAAAACAATGTATATAAAGAGAAAAAAAAATTATATAGTTTACAAAACTAAACATACGACTCCATCTCCGAAGGTGGTAGTTGAAGAAACTCATCCACATCATAGAAAGCGCCAGCCATCAGGATACGCCGTACAACTTTTTCGAAGCGACAATTAGTCATATTTTTTATTGGCAAAGGGCATTTATTATATAATTTCACTTCTAGGTGATTAGTGCTGGTTTGTGAGATATTCATGCGATGGTAGGGAATCTGATAATGTGATTTATAACGGGTTTCGTAGATATGAACATCAGACCTTTTTGAAAATGAGGTTTTAGAGAAATGTACCTAAAGAAGACTCCTTAGGATAAAGATAGAGGATAAGGTAAGTATCCTATGTTGTTGAAAAAGTGGTTTGCAACTAACAGTACTCTTTTCACCTGCTAAGACCCGTAATGCTTTCTTTTGTTGAATGAAAACATCTTTGGCCGCCCGAGAATTCCCCCAAATCAGTATTCTGTACGACTCCCTACTATGAAAGTTGGCAAAGTAGGTTGCTCTAGCAGCCTCATAACCAGCTATAGCCCGTATGCGCCTGACCGTAAATATTGCTACAGCCAAGCATCTTTGAAGATATTCAACATGAGACTTCCAGCTTAGGTTTGACATAACATATATCCCCAGGAATTTAATAGGTTCTTGCTCCCGTCCAGCAATTTTAGTTGTTAATAGTAGTTTTTGCGTCATTTCCACATTAAGTTTCAAACAGTTGGCCCCAAACCATTCTGCAGCTTCGGCTATAACAACTTCTGACTTGTTTTCAAGTTCAACTCTATCTTTCGACGTTGGCACAAAAGATGTATCGTTAGCATATATATAAATGTCATCAGCTGAGATGTTAATAGGAAGATCATTTATGTAAATAATAAAGAGCATTGGGCCCAGAATTGATCCTTCTGGGACACCAGATATAATATTAGTAACATCCGAAGTTCGACTTTTCCACTCTACACACTGCACTCTATTGTTAAGATAACTACGAATCATTTGATTTGGTAGACCTCTTATACCATAATGTTCCAGTTTATCCAACAGAACTTCATGTTGGACGCAATCAAAGGCCTTTGACAAGTCACAACACAATAATTGAATATCCTCCTTCTCGCCAAACGCACATGCTACAGCATCAACCAAGCTAGTTAGAGCTGAAGTGGTAGACTTTTGTACCCGGTAACCGTGCTGAGCTTCATTAAATAATTTGTTAGTTTCCATATACTTAATAAATCTGCTTTTTAATAGAGATTCGAAGATTTTTGAAAAAACAGGAAGTATAGAAATAGGTCTATAGTTTTTATAATTTTGAAAACAGGGACCACTTTGGCCACTTTAAGTTCATCAGGAAATATGCCGTTTGTAAAGCAACAATTTACCACATTAGTAAAGGGTATAGCTAACACGTCAATAACATTCTTAACAGGGTAGGTTGAAACGTTGTATATGTCAGGTTTTTTTTTATTCTGTAGGTAAAGGACCGTCTGGAAAATCTCATATCCAGTAGTAGGCTTTAAGAAGAAGGAGGACTGTCGACTGCCGTTCAACGTTCTGGAGACAAGTACACTGGGATTTAGATTAGGACCAGGGATAGTTTCTGTATTTACTGCAATGCTGGAGAAATAATTATTGAAATTCTGAGCATCCAAACTGCAAAAGTAATTACTAGGGCACGGAACTTTTGTAACGGAACGATACGATTTACCCCCACCACTTGTTCTCCTAGAAAACAAGTCGGTGGCGTCAAGTCAACTCACCTCATCGGTTGTTGTTGACGACCGACAATCGGTTTATTACACGTCAGTGTCAACTGTCAGTACGATTTGAAAATATTAAAAAAAAATATATTTTATAACTTTAATTCAAAAAAACATGATCCGATCTGTAATATCAATCACAAATCGAATACGGATATAAAAAAATTCCGGTTAACGCATATTGAAACAACCATCCCTAAATTTTCTTCTGTAAATGTGGTTCTAGTTGACGTTAAAATGAGTTTGTACCTAGAAAATAATCTTTCAACATCACAACTTGTAAATGGAGCATAAATAAAATACTGAGCTATTGAACCATATTTTTCCTTAAGAGTTAAAGGTATATTGTTTTCGGCAATTTGTTGAACAATTCTCAAATCCGAACAACAATTTTACCACAAAGGGAAACTAAAAACAATTCTTAAAAAAAACAATAATACGAACTCAAACAGAACTCCAACTTCCAATTAAAGGTAACTAAAGAAAGATAAATAGCAAATTTGACGAAATTATGCGGATGAAAAGCGTCGAATACTGGACATTTGGACAACAGTGAAATCGTACTGACAGTTGACAATGTTGACATTGATGCGCAATAAAAAACCGATCGTCGGTCGTCAATAACAACCGATCATTTTCTAGGAGAACAAGTGGAGGGGGTAAATCGGATCGTACCGTTACAAAAGTTCCGGGCCCTAGTAATTACTGTTGTTTTCTTTCTTTCCTTTTAGCTCTTTGTTTATCAGCTGCCATATAGCCTTTTGTTTATCGGTCGCAGTATTGATGATTTCGACAATATGTTTTTGTTTTTCAGTCATGACCGCCGAATTATCCGAATTATCTTCTAGTATTATTGTAAAGATCATTCACTTGACCGTTCTTCGTTACTCTATTGATAGTATATAACACATCCAACGTTTCTTAATTTCTTCAAGTTGTGGAGATAATCGTAAGAAAGTAGTACCCCCATGCGATTTTATTACTGTTTTTTCAAGAAAAGCCGAGATAAAACATTCCATAAAGTGGTCATGAAAAAACGAGTATTGCTGGTGTGGAAGCAGCAATGCCATTTCACACCAATGTACATCCTCCAAGAGTTGTCGGAATTTGTAAATATTAGCTGCATTAATCTTTCTTATAGTAATATATTGTTTTTTCTTAGTTTCAGGTTGAGTTGTTTCAG